GTAAAATTTACATTGGAATATCTATAGTTTGACACGATTTTTTATGGGGTTACCTAATGCAAGCCTTTGAAAGTCGGTACATTTTAGGAAATTCCCTATCTTTTAACACAAGCTCAAAATCCTGTAGCAAAGATCGTCGCGGCGCTATACGATCTTTGCCTGCAGCCCCAGTTTTGGGACCCAGTTCACGAGCCTCGTTTTCGAATACCGCCCTCCAAAATCATGTGCCGTCATTGTGGTCGCCCATCCCTCTATTTTAAATTAAAAATTAATCGTTTCATCCCCGCACCCCCCCCCCCTCTCCCTTTAAAATAAACAGGACCCATTTGGGTAACTCATGAGCTCTGGGGGTGGGGGTGCTCCTACTACTACCTAGCATATTACTACCAAGCCTTAAGTAACGCATGTGCTTTCTGGGCAAAGTCCGAGTCCAAGTGGGCCCCGGACAGGCCACTCTACTTACAGTACTACTGATACTCAGCACTCTCCTACAACGCCTTAAATATGTAAACTTTTCTATAATTTCCAAAAAAAAAACCAAATAGACCAAAATACCACAAACACAATATTTCGCAGATTTATTAGAAGGGGTTTTTCAACTATGGATGCCCCACTATGGAGGTTTGACCAGTTATGTAATGCCTGTGTGCCTTCTGGGGAAACGCTTACTTCCTCCATGTCCAAATGAGTCCCGGAAAGGCGATGGGCCCTTACTTACTACTACCGAGCAATCTAATAATACGTTTTTGACAAAATATTTTCAAAAATGTACGAGCGGCGGACGCAATTAAAAAAAATTTAAATAAAAGAACGAAGAAATCCATCACTCGACTTTTTATTTAGTAATCAACAAAGCTTTTGAATAAACATTTTGGGTCAAGTTCGGGTAAAAATGTCCGTGTAAAATAAATATAAAATAAAATATTTAAAAAAAATAAAAAAATAAAAAAAATAAAAATAAATAAAAATAAATAAATTAAATTTTAAAAAAAATTAAAAATATATATATATATAAAAATAAAATATATATCAAAAATAAAATAACAGTAATATAAAAATATTTGGTTTAATTTTAAATTTATTAGGCATTTTACTAACTTTAACTGTTTGCATTAGTTTATGTTCAAGGGAACTTGATATTTCCCCAGGCAATGTGGGCCAATCTGTCGTAATTCAACTGACTGCAATGGGAATAAAGTGATGGATGGCTATTTAGAAAACTCTTAATCCCAAGTTGACCATTAGGCATGTCACTGTCAGTAAAACAAGAATTTTTTCCTGACAATGTCCACACACACACCCACACAATTACAAGAGTTTCTTTGCATTACATGCATATGAAAGTTTCACCTAAACCAAACTCAAACATAACCCATCCACATTGTGGTTCTGTGTTGGCAATTCACTTGAACTCTACAAGTTCGACTTTTTAGTTCTGCCATGCCATATATGGCATCATTTTTCGTAGGCTTTGGAAGAGTGTTCATATGCTTATGATGCATCCCTCATTCCCGGCTCCAACCGGATTTACTGTCACAGCTTACATGTAGATACAACAACTGTGCACACACTCTTACCAAACTGCTGTAGAATGTTCTCTTCAGCTTGCATTTCAAATCGTTAAATTGTCAGAGCTTCCGGGAGACGGCTTTTCCCCTAGACCCTCCAAAGATTCTGAGCGACCATATCTCTTACCCAATTGCACACCCACTGGATAACATCGCCATTTCCCATTGTCGAATAAATGTTTTGTGATGATTTTCAACAAGCAGGAAATAAGATCATCAGTAAGTAAAAAATAGTTTTTGAAGTGCCTTTTTCTTTTGGCCAAATATTAAATTAATCTCAATATAAGTACTGTATAGTGAATGGTGTGTCTTATAATGTTGTAGTGTAGTAAGATTAAAAATATAATTTAACATGGCCAAGAAAAACACTTAAAGGACTGCGCCAACAGGAGGATTCGTCCACAATACCGTAGTTTCACCCCTGGTCCATGCCAAACTCGGATATTATCTTTGGCCTGTTATATCAACTCTAAAAATAATTTGGCCCTTCAAATAAATTAGGTACTAGAGACACCATTAGGCATATTAATATGAAAATGAAAAGTTATTTTTTTTTTCAATTTGATTCATAGTCTGACTACTTTCAGAGCCTTGAGGTAGTTTTACTGTGGAAGGTACTCTATAAATATGCTACCATTACATTAGCATCGAGGAACCCTATCATCAACCATTTCAAGACACCTTGAATAGTTGGTGTGTGGTGGTACTTCTATAAAATTTTACCATTTTTCATTAATAATAAATAAACTTTCATGAGTAAACAGAGGTCACCACTTTGGGCAAACATTTCATAACATGGACATTTTGAATACCAAAATGTCCACAGAAAAATTATTAAAAGTTGACACCCCAATCAATTACCACCTAATATTGAAACATTTAAGTGTCGTCCTCATCTCCACTTATATTATTATAACTATTATATTTATGTTATTTCAAGATCATGAGCATTAATAATCCTACAAAATCTTGGTATGAGCATTAAAATCTTATAAATTACACTACTTGTGGAAATGTACAACATGAAGACCAATTTTACAAAATACTTGAAAGAGTATGAAAAACACTTTTGTTCACTGATTTAATTCTTTTTTTTTTGTCTCGTGCACGAGTTTAAATCAATTATCAAAATTTCATTAACTCAGGTGACAATGAAAAAATAATAAAAAGTACAATAATTAAAATATCTGTAAACTACCACTATTATCTATTTAGGGATAAATAAATATTAAAGCAAAATATAGCCACTCCAACTAATATATGTAAACTGCTGCATTAAACATACTCTTTAATCTGATTAGTATAAGAAGCTAATCCCTGTCATTTTATTATTTTAAAACTTATATAGGTAATTCATTTTGTAAAATATTAATCTTTAACAAAGAGAACAGTCATGTTTGCGACAACTGATGTCAGCTCATTCCTGCATTAAGAACATTGCTGAAAGTGACACAGTTGCCCATTTATTAACCGACATGTTTAGACATTATAAAAGAGCTTTAACATGAATGTTTGGAATTGCCACTATAATGATATAAACCATATTTGGACAAAAATAGCATTAACCCATACATTATTGTTTACTGCAATATATTGCTAGCAAAAACGTGCATGCATTCTAATATTGTTATACATGATTAAAATAATTTCCACATGCTAAAGATATGAATGAATTCCACATGAAATGTACTGTGGTAAACAATGTGTGGTGGAATTTTATGACCACAATAAAACTCCTATTTTAAGATTTTTCCCTTAATGACTCAAACCTAAATTTTAAAAAAAATCAAAAAAGAAAAAAAAAAATTAACAAGATAAAAAAGTTAATAGCATTTACAGCATCAAATAGGTTATCAATCACCAATGAGATTAGATTTAAAGACATTTTTATTAACTCCCTAAATTGATAACCGGCCAATTTAAAGGTCTATGCAAAGTATATACTGTACAGTAGGAATATATCATTTAACTATTTAATTGCAAGGAAAATGTTCTCATTTAATTCTTCAATTAATTAATTAATTGAAAAGGAACAATTAAAATAATTATATTGATCAAGCTCACTCAACACAGAGAGTATACCCTTTTTAGACACATCTGTATTACTAATCTCCATAAACAAAACACGTGTACAGTATTTTTATTTATCTGACCACTGCTGCATCAGATCACAATTTACAATAAATAACATAAAAATTAACAATGATAAAGAGAATGTTTAGTAAACTAAAAACAAAGTGAACGCCTTTGCTACTGTATTAGTATTACTAATTCAATCTTAATACCATATGAACTTACAATATACATATTTTGTAAAAGAGAAAAATGGCTCAATAAACAAACCGACCAAAAACATACAGAGCCATTATTCATGACAGTCATTTAAAATACTAATACAAAATTGTCAATTTACGTATCTCAAATGCAATCTGTAACCCACATATTTTTATGAAATATCTCACCAGGCATACAATAAGTAACCCACACTTACCACAAATACCTAACAAAGTATGAACATACAGTCAATAAATGCACATCATTTGCAAGAAGTTATCTTCTATTTTGACTCAGTAGTAAGAAATCATGAATATTGTATCTTTGTAACAGCAAATAATTTGAGAAAAACATTTTCTTTAGCATCCAGGTGTAACATATCCAATATGCTAGTACATCCAAATACTTAACAGATTTTTATCATACCATTACTATAGACAATTCACATTTCACGATGTAATTGATCAATTTGAAACTATAAGTTTCCAATTGCATATTCAGTTAAAAATAGAATGATATGGTTTTTCATGTGGTCTTATGGTTGAACAAGCTTAGGAAAGCAGCAAATTTCCAAATTCATCAACTATGACATTTTAAATTTTCCATTGTAACAGCGGAGAGTGAAGTTGCGCCAGAAATGCCAACATGTGATGAAATAACACTAATATGACCTCAAAAATACAATAGATCAGTTCATGTTAGCGTAAAGCTTTGTCCACGCTATCTATTGTTCTTCAACAAGAAACTGCTATAATGCCCAACAAACCTCGTTCTATTTTAATTTAAAATAATGATAATTACAATAAGTCAAGCTCCGGAGGAAAAAATATTTTTGATATGTTGTAGCACTGAATTTTCTAAGGGTGAATTAGATACAGATTTTTGAATAGCTAAAAACTTGGGGGAAAAAAGGGGGACACGAGTTTTTAAATATTCAAAAACCTGTATCTCGATGGCCAAAGTCCTCTTTTGAGCAATCCTACTAGGTACTGCTGAGACATGTTGTGTTTTTTTTATGTTCATTTTTGTAAATTTGAAATGGTGGAAATACATATGATACA